CAGCCCGGCCCCGGCGGCCGGCGCGACCCTTGACCCCCGGCAAGGCCCCGGGTCCCGGAGGCGGCCCGGTCTTCGCCTGTCTGCGTGTTGGGGACCCGAGGTTTGGGGCGGACGATGGCCTTAAAGGAAAACGCACAGCGGGTTGCCCTTTGACCTGTTCACCCAGCCTTTAAGCTTGGGCCTTGAGTTTGGAGTCCTAAGCAGGACGCACCACCTACTTAGGAAAGAGCATGTTCTTTTCTTTTATATTTTTATTTATTTTAGTCATTTTTTTTTTGCCAGTCCTGGGGCTTGAACTCGCGGCCCGGGCGCTGCCCCCGAGCTGCTTTTGCTCAAAGCTCGACTTGAGCCACAGCGCCATTTGCAGCTTTTTCCGTGTATGTCGTACCGAGGAGTCGATTCCAGGGCTTCACGCATGCTGGGCAAGCACGCTACCACCGAGCCACAGCCCCACTCCCTTATTTTCAATTTTGAAATAATCACAGACAAGGTCTTGCGGGTCGCCCAGGCTGAGTCTGAACTCGTGGGGTCAAACCATCCGCCTGCCTGCCAGGCTTAGCTGCGACCTCAGACTTGGTGACCTCCAGCAGGCCTCCTGCATCATTCATATCAATCACTGTTGCCTTCCACCAAGAGTGTTTTCAGTTCTTTTTGTTTGAGAGACGTATATACCTTATATCCCTTCTACCTTATTCCTTACCTGTCCATATCTGGAGGAGAAAGAAATGTAGAACTAGCCAGTATGAGATTGGTCATCACGATTAAGGCTCTAGATATCTTGTGTATAATATTCAGACTGGTTTTACATGTGATTTTTTAAAAATCAGTATGTAATATGATGAAACCCTTTTAATACTCTGAATGTTTCTATTATGCAGCTAATTTTCCTGAGCAAGTAGTAGACAATCTCCCTGCTGATGTATCCACTGGCATTTATTATGGTTGGGCCAGTGTTGGAAGCGGTGATGTCCACAAAATGGTGGTGAGCATTGGATGGAACCCGTACTATAAGAATTTGAAAAAGTCCATGGTAAGAATTGTGTTTTGCTAACTAACCGCAGACAGGTTGATGATTTAGAGTCACAGGCTGCATTTAATGCACATAGAACTTTTCAGTACTAAGTACAAGATAGCTCAAATACTCAAATTCTCGGCAGCATGTTTGAAGAATGTGAGAGTGAAGTATTTCTGTACCAGTGTTGCATACCTGTAGTCCAGGACTTAGGAGGCTGGGGCAGGAGGAAATGAGTCCAGGCTGGTGCTAGGAAGCATTTCATTACTATTTGACCGGGGTATCTTTTTTTTTTTGTTGGTTGTGGGGCTTGAACTCTGGGCCTGAGTGCTGTCCCTCAGCTCTTCAGCTCAAGGGGAGCGCTCTACCACTTGAGCTACACAGCGCCACTTCTAGTTTTCTGGTTTTATTGGAGATAGGAGTCTCACCGTCTTACCTGCCCCGGGCTGGCTTTGAACCGCGATCCTCAGATCTCAGCCTCCTGAGTAGCTAGGATTACAGGCATGAGCCACCAGCGCCCGGCTTGACTGGGGCATCTTTTTCCATCCTTTTACTTTAAGCATGTTGGTGTCTTTACATCCAAAGTGAGTTGTCTGATAGGCAGCATATAATTAGATTATTGTTTTTTAAAATTCCATTTTACCCATCTCTGCTTCCCCACCCAAGCCTGGGCGCTGCCCCTGGGCTCTTTTGCTCAAGGCTAGTGCATTCTACCATCTTCATCCACAGTGCTACTTTCAGTTTTCTGGTGGTTAATTGGAGATAAGAGTTTGGGCTGGCTTTGAACCATGATCCTCAGATCTCAGCCTCCTGAGTAGCTAGGATTTCCAGTGTGAGCCTTCATCTCTGCCTTCTAGTAGGAGAATTTAATCCATTTATATTTAAACTAATTGCGGACAAGGAGGGATTTCTTTTTTTGTCTATTTACCTTCTTTTGGTGCTGGTCTTGGAGCTTGAACCTAGGGACTAGTAGACACTGTCCCTGAACTTCCTTGCTCAAGGCCAGCACTTATTATTACTACCACACCTCCACTTTTGACTTTTGGGTGGTAAATTGGAGGTAAAAATCTCAGGGATTTTCTTGCCTGGGTTGGCTTCCAACCATGGTCCTTAAATTTCAGCTTCCTAAGCAGCTAGAATTACAGATGTGAGCCACCAGTGCTCAGCTCTATTTGTCCTCTTTTGTCATTTCCTTTGTAACTTTATATTGTTAAATTTTGATCATGGGGCTTGAACTCAGGGCCTGGATACTATCCCTGAGCTTTTGCTCAAGGCTAATGTTTTACCATTTGAGCCACAGCTCTACTTTTTTTTTTTTTTTTATAGTTTAGTGGAGATCAAAGTCTACAGACTTTCCAGGGCTGGCTTTGAAGCTCCATCTTCAGATCTCAGCCTCCAGAGTAGTTAGTATTACAAGGTGAGATACCAGTGCTCTGCCCTTTTGTTTCACTTTTATATTTTTTATTTTATTTGTTTATTTTGTTGGTGATGGGGCCTGAACTCTGGGCCTGAGCCTGGGTGCCATCCCTGAGCTCTTCAGTTCAAGGTGAGCACTCTACCACTTAAGCTGTAGTACCACGTCTGGCCTTTTCTGCTTCTGTGGTGCTGAGGGATTGAACCCAGATCCTTATGCATGCAAGGCAAGTACTATACCACCGAGCCCCTTTCCCAGCCCTACATTTTTTTTTATAGTGACACATTTTTATTCTCATTCTTTTTTGTATATTTTCTTGTTACCTTTAACATCCTAATATTTTGTAAATATAATTTGAGTTCATACTAACTTCAGCAGTATTAAGAAATTAGAAAAAACATCTATAGATTGTGTGACAGACAAGTATTTTGGTGCATTTTAAAGTCACATAGATGAGAAAAAGTTGTTACAACCCACAGTTACAATAATACTTTCATAATTGCTTATTTATTTACACTAATTTACACTTTACTGATTGCTTTGTAAAGTACAGAATGGCTTACTACAGGGATAATGCCACTTGATGTGTGTATATTCTTTCTCAAGCTCCCTCCAAACCCGGTGGCTTTTTACCCAGGCCCAAATGCATGTTAAACACTGTACCACAGAGCTACCCACCCCCTCTGAGCCTCTCTGTAAAATCACCTTCAGGGTAGAGGGTTTCTTTGTATGTGTTCCGCTTTTTCTGCAGGATCCCTACAGCTTAAATATTTTATTTGTTGGATTTGGCTTAATCTTTTGTTAGCCCAAGTGAAATACAAAAACAGATTTGTAGCAATCTAAATTTTAACTTCCTTGCAAAGTTAATAAGACAGAAGTGTGTCACAGTTGGAAAACCACAGAACTAAGTGCTGATATAAGCAATAATAACCAAGCCATAATGACCTACAACTATTGAATATTTTCAGAAAAGGGAGGAGGGGCTAGCCCTTGAGCTATTCAGATAACAGGAATTCCTGTTGAGCCATTTAAGAAATGCACTAGAAATCCTGTGAAAATTAGGAGAACCTCCCACTGATAAGATGTTCATACATTTCAGAGCTCCACCCCTTTGGCTTTTTGCCAGAAATGAATAACTGAAGTGCTCATTCAAGTCTTTTGCCTTTATTAAAAATTTTCATTGTGATAGGATCTTGAAGTTCTTATCATAGCTTAAATTTAATTATTTTGTTGGGGCTATGTATTTAAATTTCTAGTGTGGGTTTATTTTTTAAAACTCATTGGTGGCTTTCCTTTTCCTTTTTTGTTTTTTTTTTTTCTCTCCAGTGCTGGGATTGAACCCAGGGTCCTAATCATACTAGATACATGCTCTACCACTAGGTCCCTGAGTCTTAACTTCAATAATGACCCAGCTCATTTTTCAGTAAGGATTGTTTTTTCCTAGCTACTCAGAGGCCAACATACCAAGGTTCGAGTCCAAAGACAGCAGAAATAAGACAGTCTTGGAGACTCCTCCAGTGAACCAGCAAAAACTCAGGCTGGAGGCGTTGCCAAGCGGCACAGCCACCAGGTGTGGACAATAAAGGGAAGGAAGAGTGTGAGGCTCTGAGTTCAAGCCTGGTAGTGGGAAAAAAAGTAAGAAATCTTTTTTTTTTTTTCTGGTCATGGGGCCTGAACTCTGGGCCTGGGCGCTGTCCCTCAGCTCTTCAGCTCAAGGCTAGCACTCTACCACTGTAACCACAGTGCCCCTTCTGGCTTTTTCTGCTTCTGTGGTGCTGAGGAATGGAACCCAGGGCCTGATGCATGCAACGCAAGCACTCTACCAGTGAGCCACCTTCCCAGCCCAAGAAATCTTTCTTAAGTGAAGGTCAAGAAGATACTTTTTCTGTTAAAAGCTGACTTGTGTCTTAAATGATCATTAATGACAGCACTAGGGACCCCACACGTGGATGTTGGGAGTCATTCTGCAACTGAGCCACCTTCCCAGCCCACCCAGAGTGATGTGGGAGTATAGTATGCGATAGGAGTCAGAGTGAACTTTTTTCTGAAAGGATCTGGCGTTGACCCAGCGCTGGCTGTTGACAGCACTGCCGTGTCACCTGAGCTTTCACAGGCATGTTGTCCGCTTGTCTGTCAGGGTGTCAGTTCCCACAGTGCCCTCTCAGGTCCTCAAATCGTTGTGTAAACTCTCTTGGATTTTTAAAAAGTTATTTTGTTGTTTATGTAGAGGTGATCTACAGACTGGCTACATTTGTATGAGTCAGGTACGAAGTACATTTCCTTTAGTCCAGTGCCATCAGTTCTCTCATTCTCTCCCTGCTCCCATCTCTATCTGCAAGTTGTATAGTTCACTTTCATCAATGTCCAGTATGTCCAGTTTGGTTTTTGATGTTTCTTGAGGGTACTTCTGGCCGTTCATGTCAGTTTTAGAATAGCTTGTCCGTTTCTGCCAGCTAGGATTTCGGTTTGGCTAACTTTGAATCATTCACTTGTTTTAGAGAGAGTAGATCAGTTTCGAGAAGATGGAATTGTTTTACTCATCCCTTCCTGTATCATAACTGACAATCCACTTTTCCCCATTTTTTGAGTAGACAGAAAATATGGAATGATAAGTTACTTCTGTCCCTCTGTAAGGGTATATGCATATTAGAGACTGTGTGCAAAGGGATTTCCCTCTAGATAGAGAACATAGAAAAGTGGGCCCCACCCATTACCCCCATCTTAAAAGATCACAAGCAGCCTCACATCTCTGCTCTCAGCACTCCAGAGGCAAGGCAAGGGGATCTTGAGTTCTAGGCCAGCCTGAGCAGATAGTGAGACCCTGTCTCAAAACACCAGGGACTGGCATGTGTAGCTTAGTGCTAGAGTGCCTCTGCTTCCTTGCGTTATGAAGTCCTGGGATTGGTCCCAGCACTGAAGGGGTAGGTGGGAATCAGAACACGGCAACAACCACCAAGAAAAATAGAAAGTTAGGAAAGGCAGTTTTATTTTTCTAAGAGAAAAGGCAAAACTTCCCATGATTTTAGTCCATATTTATTTCCTTCCTGTTTTTGATCTGGTTCCTATTTTTAAGTATACACAGTTCACTTAAGTCATCTCTGTTGTTTTAGTAGTTACTCTGAATGATTTAGCTGCACCTTTCTAGATTGGTACATGGATTAGATTTCCTCAAGTCAAGAGCTTCAAAATAAACCTTAGAATAGATGTTTCTAAATGTTTACACCTTTGCTGTTTCTGATCCCATCATCCTAGTCTAGCTGACTCTGTTCTGTCTTTGGTCAGCCTCGGAAGGGTTGGGTGTCCAGCCCTGCTTGCCTTAAGCTTAGATGATTTATCTGAGCTGGAGAAGTTACTAAGCAGTGAACCATATCCGAGTTTTGGTATAATCCATCCACTAACCCACTTAGGGCTGTATATAAGGTTAGGACAGAAATGATGGGAGAATTGGTCTTTAAAATTTTAGTGATTTTTTTTTTCATTTTAATTGATCCCCCATAAACTTGAAGATGTATTTTAAAATTTGTATTTATTATGGTCTCATGGTCATCTTCTCAACATTTTATTTTTAGGAAACCCATATCATGCATACTTTCAAAGAAGACTTCTATGGGGAAATCCTCAATGTGGCCATTGTTGGCTACCTCAGACCAGAAAAGAACTTTGATTCTTTAGGTGAGTTCTCAGGTTGACCTTCTGTTACTTATAGCTAGTGATAACGAGGGTGTGACACGATATTTGAGCAACTCATAGGCAACAAGTACTACTATTTTAAGTGTTCCATATGAGTTCTTTTTCTAGAACTATTATTGACGAATTCTTTTGCCCACTTCATAGAGGTGGAAATTGACACACACAAGTAATTTTCCCCACACCACTCTTAGTGTAGTTTTGTTTCTATATAACTGAGTACCTGGCTGGTAATTCATAAAGAACAGATGTTCACCCAGCTCTTGGTTCTGGAGCCTGGAATCCCAAGACCACGTGCTGGCGGCTGGCGTGCAGCTGGTGAGAGGCTCTTGCTGTTGAACAAGAGTGCTAGCAAGACTTAACTTTTGTAGCAGCCGCCCTCAGAGCCCCGCTACCTCCCCACAGCTCCCCTTCCACAGGTCGTCGACATGATTTTGAGCAGTTTTCAGTGTAGGAACTGCGCAGTAGTTACATGTAAGTGCTGGAGCCTAGAGTCCATCCCAGCCGGCTGGCTGCCTTTCTTAAGCAGGAAGTTAATGAGATTTTCAGAATGCCTCTAGTGGAAGGGGCAGTCACAGTGGACATTAGTTTTAGATGCTATCATGGTATCTGTTAGTACTTAATTATAGTTTCTTTCTGATGCTGGTGGCTCACTCCTGTAATCCTGCCTACTCAGGAGGCTGAGATCCGATGATAGCAGTACAAGGCCAGCCAGAAAACCAGAAGTGGCGCTGTGGCTGAAAGTGGTATAGTGCTAGCAGCCTTGAGCAAAAGAGCTCAGGGACAGCACCCAGGCCCTGAGCTTAAGCTACTCCCAGCAAAAATAAACAAACAAACAAATAAATAAATAGTTTCTTTTACAACTGTAATATCCAAAAAAAGAGATAGTAACTTCTTCTGTTGGGTATTTTCAGTATATGTTTGTGCCTATGCTTTTCTGTATGAAATTTCAAGATGAGGGATAGCCTTTCTGTACCGTTGACTTTTACTTATGTATGGAAAAAGGGAACAAACACTGGGCATGTGCCACCGTCAGAGTTAGGACTGGAGTCGCTGCAAACATAACAGCAGTTGCCTGCCATCTTAACCAGTGTGTTCTCTTTGCAGACTCTCTCATTGCAGCCATTCAAGGGGATATTGAAGAAGCCAAGCGGCTGCTGGAATCCCCAGAGCACTTGAAACTCAAAGATGACAATTTTTTCCAGGTCTCTAAAGGAAAGATTATGAATGGTCACTGATGAAAGGAAAAGAGTACCTTTTTTTGTTTCTTCTGTTCTCTAGTATTTCACTGGTCACAACTGTGCAGCCCCATCCTGGTTGTTTGAAAGTCAGACATTGTCCTATGGCCGTGAGTGAGTTCTGACAGTACATGAAGTTGCCCTGTTAATGTGTGCTTCAGTGCTGTCAAAAACCCACCAGACTGCAGTACTCAAAAAAAAAAAAAATCAAGATTTTTAAATGTGATGTTGATTAAAATGAATCACTAGAAGGATCCTAAGTGTCCTGTGATGGAGTAGAGCATATATACATAGGGGTAAACACAACAGGCTGCTAATTTGAGGTGAGAATTCCAGTTCTCATCATAGGATGCCAACCTGTACCTGTGTAGCCTGTGCTATTCCACAGAAGACTTGGAAATTGAAGCTTGATCATTTAAGCCTAGGGAGGAGGAGCATCCAGAATGTATTTTTGGTATTTGTGAGCGTTCGTGGTTATGACAGTCATGAAGAATTCTGTGCATGTTTTTCCTCTCTTCCCTTAGGAGGTGGTTCACTGTGCTGTGTATGAACCTCTGAGACCTGCCTCAGCCCTAAGCGGCCTAGTCTCCCTTTGCCTGCTGGGTTTTGGAAGACTCTTAAGATGAATGTTGTTTTGATTCTGCAGGTCTTGCTTTGATGTTACATAATATTTCTTTCTTCTCTTGCTGTTCGGTTCTGGGGATTGAGTCAGGACCTCAAGTGTGCTGCGCTACACATGCCCTCTTCTATACTCCGGGCTCTCTTCTTTTGAAGAAGTTAGTCCTCCTTTAACTTTTTTTTTTTTTTTTTTAACTTTGGTTCTTTTTCTTTCTAGAGGTGATGAACCTTTTTCTGGCCAAGGGCTATTTGGATGTTTATCACATTCCAGGCCATACAAAATTATTAATATAGGCAGACAGGCCGAAGCATACATGTCTGTCCCGACATGTACCAGTTGATCTGTGGGGCCTCATACAGCCCATGGGCAAATGAGCATTTGTTTTTCCCACTCAGACCACCCTGCAGGGTGTACACCTAAGAGACTGGATCTGTCCACCTGATTCTGGCCCATGTCAGTAAGAGCAGTGGCTAAGTGCCTATTTGTATTGGATTTTTAGAAAAAAGAAATCAGAGGGCTGGGATGTAGCTCAGTGGCAAAGTGCTTGCCTAGCAAGTGCAACGTCCTGGGTTCAATCCCCAGTACCAAAAAAGAAAAGACAAAAAAAAATACAGTTAAAAAGAAAAAAGAAATCAGTTTATCTTTATATGACTTTCTGATCTAAAGTAACGATAGCATTGATGAGTATGTACCAGTTTGTTAAAGAATAAAAAATGTTTTTTCCCCCCTGAGGAAACTATTTATTAACCAATTAAACTATGAAATAGTTGGAAGGTTGTTTTTAATGTGATTATATGTTTGGAGCCAATGAGGCTGTTAGAGTGGAGTCCGCTCCTTGTGGTTCAGTGGGAGGCTAAGAGCACTTACAGATAAAGTGACGTATTTTCACTTTTTGTTTTTTTATCCTACTGATCGTAAGTTCACTCAAATCCTTTCATTTAGAGTAGAAAAAATAGGAAGTTTGGGCTATTTAGGGAATTAAATTGCAGGTTGCTCTGTGCTGGTCAGGTCATTTTTCACCTAATGGAGATGTGTTGATGGGGAGGCAGGTGACAGGAGAGATTCGGGTATATAGAAGTTAGATCACTCTCTTGCAGTTATAGGAAGCAGGTAGAAAGTATATTAAAGCTTCTGTAACGGAGGGATGCATACATTTTATTCTTTTTTTTTTAAGAGGAATTTGAATTTAGGGAAAATGATGCAGTTTGTGGCCTTTTCATTTCTTTAATACACACATACTCACACACACACACACGTGCACTCATACACATAGATGGATGTGTATCTTTTGCCCCGTCTTCAGTGTAGGGAATGGTCTTACGAATGCCAGGCAGATCATCTGTGAGCTGCATCCAGCCCCAGCCCTAAACCTGTCATAACATTAGAAATCCTACTGGAAAACGAGCCTCCGTCACCAGAAGCTGTATGAAGTGTAAGCACACATTTGTGTGCGTTGAGTCGGAGTGGCCTTTGCTAACACTGTGGGGATGTTCTTTGTCCTGCCACCTTGCGTTTTCTTAGCCATCGCTTTTGCACATCGCATAGTGTGTTTAGGGGTCAGTTAATTGTCCATGTTCTCAAGAGATTTACATTGTGTCGATCTGTAGGAGTTCTAGTCTGACTAGTCTGAATGTTTTCAGGCCCTGAAATAAATGTTGTGATGAAGTTGTTTTTGTTTTGTGTCTCCTTATTTGCATCTTTCCCTTATCTGTTGAAGTTTCGGGTTTGCTAGCTGCTTGTTACCTGACATGTGTCGAGGGTCCTGGATGGCTGGTGTTTAGGTGGTAGCTGTCCAGGACTTGGCCTTGCTGAGCTGGGTTTTATGCCCCTAGCCAAAGCTCAATGCCTGAGGTTCATTTGGAGAACATTCATGGGGCATCAATATGCAAAAGTTCACTTCCCGAGCTTGAGAGTTCCTGTTATGTTTTGGATTAAGAGCCAGAAAAAGGTATTTAAGTTTACCTCCCTTGTAGAATACCCGCTTTGGAACTTTCATGACTGCCGCTGACCCCACAGGCGGTACTGGCTTCGAACTCATCTTCAGCTCAGAAGACTTAACCTGAAGTCAGGGACTGCCCTAATTGTATGGACTCTGCAGCAGGCATATTGCACATGAAGGCTCCATTACTAGGAAAATGCACGCTCCTGCCTGGGCAGATGAGCCTGCGAACGCATCCTCTCCCCTTGACGTTCACATTCTGTTTTTATTTTTTATTTGTTGGTCGTGGCGTCTGAACTCTGGGCCTGGGCGCTGTCCCTCAGCTCTTAAGCTCAAGGCTAGCGCTCTACCACTTGAGCCACAGCACCACTTCCAGCTTTTTTTCTTTTTGCTTATGTGGTGCTGAGGAATCGAACTTGCTAGCAAGCACTCTGCCACTAAGCCACCTTTCCAGCCCCACACATTCTGTTTTTATATCTATTCTGATTTATGCACAGAATAGTGGCGCCTCAAGTGCTTCTGGAAACGGACATATATCCTGAGAGAGTGACCACTTCCGGAGCGTAGGCGGGGTTTTGGGTCTGATTGCCGCTTGGATCCAGGTTAATAAGCACCAGCTCTTCCTGCTCCTAACCAAGTTACTCGTGGGAATTTCAGATTCATCCTCAAATCCCTGTAGGTATTCTGAACCCTCAAAATAGTTCCTAGGACTACCAGGGAGTCATTTTGCTTACAAATTTACTGAAGGTATTTTTATCTTTATTAAAGATTGCCTATCAAGTATTGTTACCAAATGAAATTATTTTTCAACTATTTCTCAAATCTCTCCCAAAGCCAAGAAATCCTGATATGAATATTCCGAGATTCCAAGTACATTTCAAAGCCAGACTTTTCCCTTGGCCTCTACTCTGAACATCGGCCTTGTTCTGTTATAGCACTTTTGAGTTATGGTTTTGACGGTTCAGAAAAGGCAGTGCTCCTGAGGGGGGAGTGGGGGGAGGGAGGGGGGGTTGGCATATGTCTGTTACCTTATCTGGCAAGAGGATCAAGAATTGGAGGTCAAGTCTGGATATGAAGGCACACACCATCCTAGATGCTCTGGATATGGACATAGGGTGGCAGTTTGAAGCCAGCCCCAGCAAAAATAGGTAAACACACTGTGGTAGCACATGCCTATAGGCCCAGGCCACCAGGTTCAGCTTTTGCAAGACATGGCAACTTCCCCTTTCCTTAACCCTTGGCTTCCTAACAAGAGTGAGCCCCTGGGATCAAGTCAGAATTGATGATCAGATTTCTACCAGATGAGCCGTATGTGTTGGTACATGCCTGTAATGTCAACTTGGGAGGCTGAGCTAAGAGGATTACCAGATTGAGGGTAGCTGGAAATACATAGACACCAAGAACCACTGGTAAAATCTTTCTTCCCTTAAGTTGTTTCCGGAATTTTGGCCACAACAACGCAGGAGTAACCAGTGCAGGTTATTGTCACCAGTGAATCTACAGAGTATTTAAAAATGGTTTTGCTTTGCAAAAGTCACTAAAGTTTAAGCTACTAAGCGTACACTTCCAAGTCAGGGCCACTGAGTAGGGCTGCACAGCCTCTATTAACGTTTTGTCGTTAAAGGGGAGCATGAAATGTTAGTACCATTTTCGATTATACAGCTGCAATGTGAGAGCTGGGAAAACCACACTTGTTTTTTTGGACAGTCCTGGGACTTGAACTCAGGGCCTGGGCACTGTCCCTGAGCTTCTTTTCGCTCAAGGCTAGAACTCTACCACTTTTGCCACACCACCACTTTGGGCTTTTTCTGTGTATGTGATACTGAGGAGCTGAATCCAGGGCCTCGTGCACACTAAGCAAGCGCTCTACCACTGAGCCACGTTCCATCCCTGCTTTATACATTTTAAAGAGCTCTTTTACCCACCTGGGACAGGAGTAGATGCAGAAGCTGATGCATTTTGCAAGCATTGCTCATTGATCTGAATATATTGGCACAGGTTAGCACCATGAACAGACTAGACTGGTCAGTGCCACTGGCAGTAACACACAAGACCTGCTCAGAAAGGCCACATGATCTGTTGAATGGACAGCTTCCACTATTGCTAATTTTTACACTGGGTTCCACAAAGTACACAGCCACTCCTAATGACATGTTAGTCTTCTGGGAAACCAAACCCAGATAAGGGCCTGAGAATACTGTTTGGTTCTGCCTGGCTGCCTGGGAAGAACAAGAGGTGAACCAAGAAAGCATATTGACATAGCAACATTCAGTTTACACCAGGACTGTCACGTGAGCTGTTGAGGAGACATAGCCTCACCAATGTCTGGAGTCGAGTCTGTGTCAACAGAAATCCACCAGTAAGGGCATGCAATTTATTTATTAGTAGGCAAATGTCTTTTACAAACTCTTTAAAAGCGAAAATGAAGCTGTAATTCCAGCCCTTGGAAGGTTGAGGCCAGCCTGGGCTGCATAGCAAGTCAAACAAGAAAGAAAACAAGTGAAAATCAATGCCTTGATTTTTGTAAGACAGATCATCCAGATGTTCTATAGCTTGCTACAGAGAAGTTACAAAGTCAATAACGGATTCTGGAGTTTGTCCAAAGGGACCATAGGAAGTAAAAATGCTGATCCTAGGCCAGGGAAGAGA